CTAATGTAAACTTTCTAACCTTTCCATAAGCCGTTCAAGTCATCATGCTCTTGAATGCTAACATTGTCGTTGCCGGAAGACATGATTTCAGGCCAAAGTTTGCAATATTGAAGAATAATTTTAGGGTTTAAAGAATGACTGACTCTGCTCACGGTGTGTAGAGCTCGACTGCGAGGTAGCTTCACCAGTTCACCGAAACCGAGTTAAACTGAGACCAATGGGTAACATTTTACACTAAGTAAATTCTTCGGTGGCACCATTGAGATTAAATCGATTGCATTAATTCACTATAGTAAATATAATATTTTACACGTCCAAACAATAAAATTTTAGGAATTATCGCAAAGCAAACATGACACGATTACTATGAAAATTAATTTATTCATTAGCTAAAACAATCCAGTAACAGAAATTCTCATCGTGTACAATCACTGCAGGCTGCAGTAAAACGATAAGAGAACTGCTTCAGAGGATAAATAAACTGGATTCTTCGTTGATCCATTTATTGAATACAGTTGTTACTCTCATTCTTACAAATATATAAGAAGCCTATACTCGACTGCTATGTTGTACACATTAAAATAAATCATTGCTTCTTACATCAGCGAGATTATCGCTGTTACGTCACCCGAAGTACCTAGAAGATTCGAGAATGCATGGAAACTTCTTCCTTTTGCACTATCAACCAAAAAGCTAAAATACGTAAGTCAAAATTACATCTACAAGTTTGGAGATAATAATAATAATGAAATTAAAGTTATATGCATTTGATTGGCTCAACACAACTCTTTTAAATATGACATGAATTAGAAATGATATTTATTAAATTTTGTGCTTGTAATCTCATAGTCCAACAACATATTATTGAACATAAAATTTCGTGTGATAAGGAATGTGCGTCTGAATCATGAATTCATAGTTTAGTTTTATAATGCAGAGCAGCAAACGACACCATGTGCAAAAATTTTCTCTATCTCATTAATTGAATTGTTGACGTACACCATATGAAAGAAGTAAAGTTCTCAAAAATTAATGATACAACCAATGTTCAAGCTGTTGGACACTGAGTACTAGATTATTCTTTACTATGGACGTACAGTCATCATTATTAATGGTACAGATAAATATGCTCGGTACAAAGGCGAAGAAAACGTCCATGTATGAAATGTACAAAGTTACCTAAAATGAAATAACAGCAAAAAATTTGAAATAAAGTAATTTTCACTTATTCCTTTTTAACCTGCAAGTAATCTAGATAAGATAGGAACTAATTGCGTAATTCATCACCATGAAATGTTCATCACAATCGTTACTCTAAGAAGAGATGTAAAACCTAACTTCCAGTACTGAAGCAACTTCAACCCTGAGCATGACAAGGAGTTCCCCAACAACAATCGTTCTCACTCCAAACACAAATCTATCATAGAGAAGCAGACAATACATACCTCAATTCCACAAACATTTAATCAGCGTCCACAATGACTCATTCTTTCATTCCATCATTCATTATTTACAGTTGAATGCAACTTATTGATGATGAAGTGACGCACTCCTCAATAACCGCCGTGCAGGGAAGAGGTAAAGGAGACCACCCAATTTTATATTTTGGGAGCTAACTCTGACGAATACGGTTTAGAATAAAGTGTTTTTCGGAGGTAAAACGTGGCGGGAAAATTGTAAATGGACCTCAATATAGTGCGAAAAAAAGGGCGGAAGCAGCGTTTACCTTTTAATTCAAATCGATGGATGAAGATAATTGCATATATACTTAAGTTTGAGGGCTGCTCTCCAATCAGTTTTCTAATGAATGACGAACTTCTATGGTCTGGATTTTTTCGTCAATCAACCATAATTTTCTTTTATTCCAAATCATATTTTAGCGGCCATGACTTGGACGTGTTTGTAGCGATGTCATGACCCTATGTCGGGTTCTCAGCTATGAGGGTATAGTGAGTATACTTTCAATGAATCAAAATAGGATCTTTTTTAGAATAAAATTCCGTAAGAATGCAGGGATAGTCTTCAGAAGCATAATATATTCAACTACAGCCCAGTGATGGATGGTAAGATTAAGTAATGCTCGTGACCAACACAAGAACACGAGCAGGCCCGGGCGATAACAGGATTTTCTGTTCTATAACATCGGCTGCGACATTAGAACACACTACGCATCAGTTAAGTGTTAAAACATATTTAAGATATAAAAACTTTTCAGTAAGTTACACAAAAGCAAAACATTGCTTAGAATTTCGAGACATACCCGAATGTAGCTTGCACGTGGACCAGGAAAGGTCAAATAACGCACTTATCTTACTTTAATACGTTTGTCGTTTAACACTCATGAAATATACGGAAACTTTACACACATTCATAACTATTCTTCTGCCAAAATCGTAGTTGAGTTAGAACACTAAAGAACAAGTGAAAACCTTTAGGATTACAAACTTACCGTTAAAAAGAACAATATTGTTTCTGTCCAATACGGTTATTATTTATTTATTTGCAGACTGTGCTGGAGCTTAGAAATCAGTATCATTCTTAATTTCTATTCGAATATTTGAGCGTCAAATTCGCCTAGCAAAACATTTTCATAAGCCGAATGACAAGATACGAGCACAAAAGTCGAAGTTGGGAAAACTACGTTGAAGTTTGTTCAAGAATTTAAGTCACCAGTGCTGCTACTATTAAGGTTATTCGGGCAAAAATTCGGGGTATTGGCGAAATTCCTGAACGTTTTCCGTACTGGTCGAAGCAATGTTGTTCTCTGGCTTAAGGCTATCGCATTATACAAGCTAATTAAATCTATTGATAGTGAGGGAAAAATTGATATTGCTAGTCTTCGGTAAACAAGAAATCATCGGCCAAGCTATATATTCGTCGTCTCCTGTCATCTTTCACCCCGTGTTCAGTTCTTCCGAATCAAATGCCTAAGATAATGTTAAACGGGTCGGACATTAACTTCAGTCGGTATGATTGAAAAATTCATGAACAACTGTGGAAATGGTCTCGTTAGGAAAATGTTAGCTCCTTACGTTGTTCACAATCAATGTGAAGTAATAAAAATGATGAAATGAGAAAGTTGTTAAAGAAGCGGCAATTGTTTCAGAAATATCGTGTATTCGAAGACTACAGCGTGTGGACCGCAGATCTGTCGTCAAAGAGACAATTTTATTTTAAAAAGACGATTCCAGATTAAACTTTCACGGAGATGAATCAGGGCTCTATATTCCTCGTAGAAAGTTGAACCATTTCGCCGTCTGCACTTTTTTTGCCTGAAATTGTATGAAGCTACAAAAGTTAACTTGAGACTGTCAAGTAATCTTAGACCGATGGGCCGCGAACAAAAATTGGTTGAAAGATCGAATAAAATTTAAATACAAGCGACACATTAATGCCGAAGTAGTTGGTAGGAAGTTGAATTCTCACGGGTACATTGCAATGATTTGAGAACGCCCCACAACAGCTTCTAATAAGAATAATATTTACTTCGAATATTTGGATAAAATTAAAGTCTTGTAATAGGTCTTCTATAGCAAAACCAAGTTAACTCGTGTGTATGTGCGCTGGGGCTTGGAGATTGAGAAATGTTTGCGTGAAATGCATTTTTTTAAATGCTAGTGTATTATTCAGGGAATTTTTGATAAAGGAGTCGACTTCTTTTTAAAATCACCGAAAAAATTTAACCCACAAAGAGATGCGGATGTATCCGAAGTAACATGGTGCGAGAGATGGAGTTTATGAAAGTAAAAAAATTCATGAAAGAATTCGACCCGGTAATTGGAATCGAGTTACTCTTTTGATGAGATTGTTTAGAAGGTTGCGGTCATATGAATACGCATTTTGATGTAGAACTTCAGAAGTAGTTCCACAAAAAATGTGGAATTCAATCATCACGTGAAATTTAAGAGTACCTTAAGATTATCGAGCTATATAATATACGATGTACGGAGCATAATAATATAATATAAGATTATCGAGCTATAATACACATTCTTACATTCAAGAGGGGGACTTAACCTATCAACACGACCATCTAACTACCATCCAGCTATTTGTCTTTTACACTTATTTATCTTATAACGATCACCGAACACTCATATTCTAATTTAAACAGAAACGTGAATTGAAACAAGCTACATTTCTAAAGCAACACTCAGAGATATGAACATTAATAAAAAACAGCATCGCACTCAAACAGCACCATAGGATGGGCATTTAATGCTACTGTGCACCACACGCCATTATTGTACCACAACATTGTTTTTATAGTTACTCAAACACGCAATAACTTACAGCTTAGTGCAGCCAACAACTATATACTCAGACACTCAGCACCAGACACAACGTCATTCATGGCATCTGTACTTACACACCCAAATGAATAATAATATTAGCGGTTTCAGCGTTTATTAGGCCGTAGGCCTGTCGCCGATTCTTAACATCGCAGAAGATTCACAGCATTTTGCGGTTTCGAACTCGCAACTCACTGCTTCAATTCTGCTTTTGCTTAACAGCCCGGCCTCCTTGCCGATTCTGACCAGAAACTGGCGCACAGAGCTGGGATCGAACCCGCGCCTCTCTGCTCCAATCTCTGAACTTCAACCACCGGGCCAAGAGAGAGTGTGATGCGCCCAAATAGTGATGCACCTTCTGCAGCTGAGTGGGTCAATTATACCCAGTCTTGCTCGACTTCAGAACGTATCAGTGATACGTGCAGAAAGTGTGTCATTATTTGGGCAATACAATCCATAAATTTTTCTCACTGCATGTAGGGTACGCCGCCTGCAATCCCAGTGCTTCAGTACTGGAAATAAATTTTCAAACTCTTCACGAAAGTACTCGATTGCGAAAATAATCAATTTCTTATCTCGAAAATTATTGACCTAATGCATTGTTAACAAGCAGAGGAACGATGTTTAACGGCCTTGGATCACCGAAATCCACGAAAATGAAGCAAAAAATGCTCTGTGGTAATAATTTTATAGATAAAAATAATTACACTCAATTAAATTTTGTATTTTAACACATTTAATTGAGAAATAATTCAGTAATTCTGCGTTTGTTCCATAAAAATGAGGTGCAAGGAGTAAGGGACATGCAGAGTTGCAAATCATAGCAATCCAGCTCCCAAATGATGAATAAGTATGACTTAATTCGTTGAAATCGGGACCTAATAAATACAACTATTGGCTTACGTGGCAATTAAGAGGCTGATGCGGATTTTATTTGATTATTTGGTCACATATTAGAAAGATGTTTAGCACCAGTCTGTGAACCAGCTACCCGTGGTATATATATGGGTATAATCCCTAAGCTGCGTCAAATAATAATTTCAATTTCATGCAAATGCAGGAAAATACAAGAGAGAAGCAGTCGCAATTTCAATTTCAGATCAACAAAGTTTCCAGATTAACCAAGTTAGAAGAGTCGAATAATTTGATAATTAAATCTAAAATTGAAGATCTCGGGGGCATCCCGGTAAAACATGTATTGTAGATACGCACTCGAACTCTTCATGTTTGCAACGTAAGACTTCATACAAGCTGCCTAAAAATTTCAGATGTAAAATTGATTTTCTTGAATGTGTTGAATTAGATTAATTCTCTGTGACAATGACTGTCTTTAACACATAGTTCAAGAATAGATAAATAAATTACGTATACACTTTATGGAATACCTAGTTTTTTATTTGGTTCTTCGCATATTTTATGATGAGTTACGCGTATTGAGACGCAGATGCGTAAATCTTTGAAAGTTGAGTATCGAGCTACTGTATCAATTAAGCTATTTATTCTGCTTGATAAGAGTTCGCATATCTTGATTCTTTAGGTAAACAATTGCAACTTTGCTTCAATTACTCGATGAGAAAGTCAAGCTTTCAAGCACAAGATTTCTTTACATCCAAGAACAAATTGACACGCCTGCAGCCGTGCAGCGAAACACGTACTGACCGCTGGACTAACGGTGTGGTCGTGCAAAAAAATATAACAGTGATGACAAAACGAAGGAGTATTCATTGAAATTAATCAATTTATTGAACATTCAACACCGAAGTAACTCAGTGGGAACAGCCATGCATGCACCACTAAAATTCATCATACGTTATTGTCATGAAAAACACCGAAGAGGAATATATCTTCGTTGAGGTGCGACACGCATCCTAATGATTATTCTAGCTCGTAGAATTTCAACCACATGGTAAGATAATTCAACACCATGAAAGGTACGTTCAAAATTTCCATCCACTAAACCAGGACCTCAAATGACGGTTAAACATTGTGGAATATTTAATGGAATAGGTAACAATGTATCAGATAAATGCTCGAACTCGCACGGCAAACGTCAGTAAGTCAAGGCCATAAACAACCAAGAAATTCGAAATTTAATTTAAAAAAATGTGCGCTTCTTTCTTTCATGAGTTACAACGGCTGAGAAAGAAGTTTTCCAAGAAAAAAATTTCGTGTATTGGTACACTCTGATACAAGTCGAGAGCTTAAGCAAGACCACCCAGCCACTAAGTTTAAAGTAACTATACTATAACTACGCTGACTAATAACTAGTTCACTTCATTCTATAAGTTTCACTTGGCGTACAAAATTTGACATATGGCAGCAAGGCAGTCGGGAGTTTCAGAAAATAAGTATTCATTTTCTCGTGCAACAGCCAACTTGAGGAAATGAATAATTGCACCTCTGACTAATTACCATGAAAATTGAAGGATATTGCATCAACGGGATGACCTTTGAAATAGATGGTAATAATGGCCACAATTAGGCTCTCGCAGACCTGTTGTGAAGTCAAATCCAACGATCCACATCTGCAAGTCACGACGACTAGGAAGTTCTCAGCATTACGGCCAAGTTAATCTTACGCTAACAGTCTCGTCTTTCTCCGACTAAGAGATTATTAAATAACACTGGCCACAATATCAGTAGTCCTAAGCATGTTTTTTTCAAGTGACATCTCAACAACACACATTTTTTATAAGTCTTTCTTCTCATCGCCAGACTGCAAAGATGTACAAAAACATCACCGTAAAAATTTACCGAATCAAGGGTCGAACCTGGGAGAAGAGACGTTAATGTAAATTAGAGCTGCTGGAATCTCGAGTCACTGAGTACTTTTTTTGACAATTTTTCAGAATTCCGATTCTTCCAAAGTAGCAGTGACGCTTTGAATTGTGCTGCTTATACTTGACAAGCTCAGTAATGATGAAGAAAACAGCATTGCACCAGTCAAGTGAATGACAGAAAAGACATTTTTGGTCCAAAATTTGAGTTGACTAAAGGAAAAGGACAGTACACCAAATCTAATCTAACTCGTAAATATATCCAGCTCGATTTGAATGTTCCTTATCCAGCCCTTATATACAAAATGCATCATAGAATACTATTCGTAACAGTTGCACGAGTGTAAACTCGTCTAAAATTTGAATCGCATGGGCAATTCAGTTTAGAATTTAAAAGACCAAATTATTAACTCCTTAAGATTGATTGTTATTGTTAGAAGTTCTGCAAACATTAATCGAAGTAGCCGTTCCGGCGCCGATAGCAAACTTTTCTACGTAGTAAATTCACATGAAATCGTCTCTAATGCCAGATTCTTCATAATGATGATCTAATTACAGCTCCATGTGACTGCATGGGTTACATGCTCTTAATAAGTTTAGATCCAATTTTAGACTATTCTATGTCTCTGGCTGCGCATAAACCACAGCTAATTGCCAGAATTTTTCCTCCGGTCAGATGCCGGCGTCAGCAGTTCTCTAGCGGGGCGCGTTTAAAGCCAACCAGAAGAACGACAAACCCATAACCAACGTTTTCTTAGTTACCTCAACGAGAACAAATTCTTATTCTAAATAATGTTTTAGCGATCATTATTGAATAGAACAGCGAATTTAGATTACTTAAGACTAATTTCACAATCTAAGTTAAATTCTTGTTGTTTCTCGTTATGATAGAACTTTTTCCGACAAACAAAGAAACATTAAAGAAAGTGAAAGGAATTTATGACGCGTTTCAAAGGCAAGCATCGTTTTGAATTTGGCGAAATATTTTCTCCGTAACGATGATAACTAATTCACACTTTCTAAGACTTCGCATATCCCACGCTTATACACGACGTGCTTTTTAACTCAAACAAGCCTCACGTGGTCATATAATTACACTAAAAAACGGCTTTTCATTCCAAGATGCGATGCAATGCTAATACGTATTACTAGGAAGTAATTTGGAATCAGATTTTGTTTTTTACATAACTACGCTCATGTAAAAATAAGTTCCGTAAAAATATTTCTCTGGCCATGACGCAATGGATTAACTCACTCACTCATTAAATACCAAATTCCTTCCTTTGTATATATGTATAATTTAATATATGAGTCCTACTGCATATTTTGATTTGCGCATCATGAAGCCCTAAATGTTTTCAGAAACAAAATGTAAATTTAATCAATAAATAGCGAATAAGTGACTGTTTTTCCGACGCAGTACATGATGAGCCAGCACGAAGAATGTATACCATTGCTCTCCCTCTCGCTGGCCTTTTGTTCGTGCAAAAATTGACCATAAAATCAGCACACCCTTCGTTTCCTGAATTGGGCATCTTTAACTGACCTTTAACTTTCAGGAGACATATTATTAGTGGTCAATCATTGTCTGGCCATAAAGGGCCGAAAATATCCAACTTATAACTATAGTAAATAATTTACCCCTATTAAAAATTATCGGTGGCCCACCTCAAGCCAGTGTATGGCCATAACTTAGGTGATCAATCAATAATCTTTAGTAGGGATAAATATGCACGCGCGGCGCTTCAGCTCGTCGTGGGACTTAGCGACCCAGAGGACACATACGGACACACAGCAGGACATTTCCCTCCTCCGGCCGTAGCTGGGGCGGCGTCTCCTTGTGCACGTACGGCCGAACTCTCCGCCGAGTTAGCGCCGTTCTGCGCTGATGTAGTCTGTGCAGGAACGTCAGAGCCGTTGTTCATTGCTGGCTCTGAACTCAAGTCGAGTTGTTGGACGTTCTCGTTGACTTCGCGTTCAACCGCCATCTCGTATCCTTTCACCACCGTCTCGAGCACGAACTTTATGGTGAGCTGGTAAATCTGGTCCATGTTATCGGTGTAGCGATCGCCGAGTGTCAGCCGCACAGCCTCCAAAAACGGGCGCTCAATTTTCTGAAAAGTTTAGAAACAGTCATAATTGTGTAGCTATTAATATAATACGTTAAATAATCAAGTGAAATAGCTTTATAAACCTAAGTTAAGAAAATATTTTTCAGACTTCTTAACTAACTGACGCTACGGCACAAAGTGTTAACGTTTGTAGGTTAGGTGGCAAATCCACGTCCAGCATGATTGAGTGATGGTTGAACAAGTTGAAGTTGTTTATTCCTCTGAAAGGTCTCTGGGCAGGCAAAATCTCGAGCCTTTGAATCCGTGAATAGAAACGCCGGCGATAAGCCTGCAAAAATGATGAAGTTTTTCCTTGCGTTCAGAAATTGCAAAAGAAAAGTCTTTCATCTCGCAATATATTTTGAGTTTCAGAAAAAAGGAATACATGAAAAGTACGCTAAATGAGAAAATCCATCGAAATTTATGTTTTGCGATGACCCAACACGAGGAAGTATAAGATAACACATGCAAAAATATAAATAAGATTCCACAAAACAAGTTAAACCAGACGAATATTGTCCAATATTCCCGTATAATTATGTTTTTAATTTGAAAGATCAATACAAAAATTTGTATAGATATATCAGTAATCCTATATGTATATTCGAATTAAGCCGCAGCATTGCTGCATTGAACTATGATTAAAAATTAAATAAGCGAGCAGAGTAATAGAAACCTAAAACTTTTGTTGTGTTTATGGAGTAATGGAGCGTGCAGTTAATGGAAGCATCGAGCCATTTTGTTATGTTCCAATCGGCGGCAACATTCCATTGGGCTGTCAGTGAAAGATGTGTGAGCTTCAGCGAGTAATTCCTATTCAATTGAATGAGAGACAATGACATTTATTAGCTGATGGATTCACGAAATTTTGTCTATGTCAGTCAGACTTGTTGCGAGGCTCCGGTGCTAGGTACCGCAACAAAACGTCGCTGTCTGGACTACAAATTCAAGACGCGATTTATAATTCTATGTCGGATTTACGTAGATCCGATAATTTCTGGGAATTATGGTGATGGACAGTGACAGAAGACTGCGCAGCGCGGCAGTAATGGCAAGAAGCTTGGTGTGGCAACATTAACAACGATATTCAAAAGTGCAGTTTTGTTGATTTTGTGACTCAACGCAAATTCGCTTACAAACGAGAACGCTCTTAGGCCATTCATTTTACCATCTTTGGGCCATTTGAGTCATGTATGACGTAGCTGCTAATTTTGTAATGTTTCCATCAAGGCACCAATGATAACGCAATAAGGACATTTTATCGCATGCAAAAGTTGACAAAAAAGCGCGATTAAATCATGATCATGTTGTTAAAATTTAATCTTGTACCAACCCGGCCTGCCCGCGTCCGAGTCTTGTTATAGAATAGAATAGAATAGAATAGAAGTGTCGGCGTTGAAGAAATAGGCCCATGGCCTGTTGCCGATTCTTGAACTTTTCGTGACTTGATTCACAAGGGATCCGGCCTATGGAACCCGATCTTTCCATAGCTGACGATTGATTGAGATAGCCGTTATGATTGGATTGATTGGTTATGAACCGAGACCGTCGCATTTTCACAAACGCCCGGAGGTCCTCCATAATTATGTTACTAATATCGAATAATCTTTCCTATTCTTGCATTGTTCTGAGTTTGAGGAAATGAATCTTTTTTATGTTCATTACATTTGTATGTTTGAGCTTTGTTAACTCGACTACTATTAATGCTGGCTTAAAGCCAAATGTAGGATATCATTTGCTAGAGAAATTTGTTGCTTGGATTAGATATTAAACTACTGCAATTACTGGACTGCCTTGATCAAAACAAGAAGTTGATGTTGAGTTGAGGTTACCTGCTTCAAATGAAAAAATTAAACCATAAAATGACATCGTAATCTTGCTGATACCATATCCTATAATAAAAAATATAATCACTATTTCTTTAATTATAACTCTTTCACTGTCATCGAGAGTTATTACTACGGTATCAATTTAAGAATACATAAAGGTAAGCGTTTCGTCTTTTGCCGACATCCCCATCAATATTAACGGTTTATTGTAAAATAACTTGACTTAATTTTTCGAACGGTTTTCAAAACGGGTTTCCTGCACATTTCAGATATGCGTGTCGTGCACTTCAGTGAGTAACTCAAACTTCATCTTCAGCTGCTTAAATTAATGGCCTATTATTTTCTGAGCAACCTCACTGGTGAGTGCGGTTAACCGCGATTGGTTGGAGACACTCGAGAGAAAGACGTGCTATTATATTCCATCAGCATCAGCTCATTTGCAGTACAAATGTTGCATTCGTTTCTTTTTTCATGCAGTTAGATAGTTGAAACTATTCTCACTGAAATATTATTCCGCCGATTTTTTTCAGAAGCAAAGGAAGTTTTCTCAGTTAATTAATATTCGTCAATTTAACTGAATCTCTATTCAATTATTGTGAAGACTCACACAGGATGACAAATGTTGTAAAATCATTGCCACGCTTTCTCCATTTAACATAATACTAATGTAATCACCACCACGAATGCTCACCCAGCATAACAGCGATCTAATCACCGCCACGTATGCTCACCCAGCACAACAACGATCTAATCACCGTCACGTATACTCATCCAGCACAACAATGATCTAATCACCGCCACGTATGCTCACCCAGCACAACAACGATCTAATCGCCGCCACGTATGCTCACCCAGAACAACAACGATCTAATCACCGCCACGTATACTCATCCAGCACAACAACGATCTAATCACCGCCACGTATGCTCACCCAGGACAACAACGATCAAATCACCGCCACGTATGCTCATCCAGCACAACAACGATCTAATCGCCGCCACGTATGCTCACCCGGGCCAGCAGTACACGATCTAATCACCGCCACGTATGCTCACTCAACAAACAACGATCAAATCACCGCCACGTATACTCACCCAGAAGTATTCCTTCTTAAAGCCAGGTATCTTGACGTGCGAGCCGCCAATTTGGTGCAGGAGGTCGAAGAAGAAGTCGACGTTGTCCATGGCGCGGATGCCCTCGTCGATGGAGCTCATGACAACAGTCGCGTGCTCCGCTAACTCCAGAGACTCGGCTTGTTCGTCCGGGGTTTTGAGTTCCCGGAACTTAACGAAGAGCGACAACAGCTCCGCGTTGCGCTCGAACAACCTGCCGGCATAGTGGCGCTTCAGTTAATGATTTTCAATGATATGGAAATAACGAGTGACTCGGAGTGAAGGTGCGCATGCAGAAATTCAGAGAAAAATATTACACGTTAAGATTACGAAAATTGAGGAATTATAATAATTAATTAAGCTAATTTTTTCATTAAAAAAATAATGAATATATAATATTCATGGTTTTTTCATTAATTGAATATTCCGGCTAGCATTACAGTTAAGGGCGGAAGAGACGAAACAAACAATACGTCATTATATAGTAATACGTCCGAGAATATACCATGCACTAGCTGGAATTTGATTACGGAAACAATGCGCTTGTGCATCCAGGAATAAAATAGATAAAAAATTATCTGAATTTTATTTTGTAAGTGGATATTGGCCGCTATGCTATGCAAACCAAATGATTGTGACATTATAAATCAAATTCTCAACCTCTGGTTATTCTGAAAAAGTTTGATTCAATTCTGCAATGAGCTGGAACTTTATGAGCTGCCTACTATCAACGTCTTATATCAAGAAGCAGAACAAAGGCAAAATTTTTAGCTCTGAAAACAATCCAATATAAAATCCGAATGAAATATCACTGCGCAGCATGCCAGCTTTCGGCTTGTCACATCGTGGAGACTGCGAGAATAAAAATGCATGGCAGCTCGTAAGTCATGTGAAAAAATTTATATGAGCATTCGTTAAAGCCGTAACTCCAGAGGAACTTACAGCCATTGACCGTAAATGTCTCATTTCGCATGCAAAACGTGGGTTGAACCTAATTTTTTGTCCTCTTGAATCACGCGCGTATTTCCATGACACTTTTGGAGCTCTCAGCCAAATGGAAAAAATGAAGAATATCTTCCATAGTCTTGAAGTATCACTAAAAATTACGACAGCGATAGCATTTTCTCGTCCAACAAAAGCAAATTTTAAATGAAAAGTTAATATCTGTGAATAATAGGCAATAAACGTACATATGAAGAAAAGAAGAAGTAACCTAATTTCAAATATTCATGTACATGGACTCAACCTAAGACTGTCGTATCAAATTTAACCGTCGATTAAAATAATTAGTGATTATATGTAAGTAATTAGTATTATTAATATTCTCAAAAATAATAATGTTTGACCCTTTAATGTTATTTTTTTCCGTGAAAAATTTACCCAAAATTATTCGCCTATTCAAAGATGAATAGGCGGATAATTCGTGGACAACTCGTGTTTGTTGAAAACATTTTGCGGAAAACGTGTGAAGATTTTCCCGTGTGTTCACTCTAGGCACTTTCAGACGCTTCCATTTGTACGGTTGTGGTAGTTTTCTTCAGTGTCTTTATGTTCGTTGCAGACGTAGTCTCATAACGATGCAATCTCATGTTGTTAATCATATCTTGGTTTTCTCCCAATAATTTGGTAAGTGCTATAGAAATGGAATTACTGATTCAAATGTAATGACTAATGATCAAGTGACTCTGTACTTGTGACTTTCCGCAACGTTCTAAAGCTTAATTGTATACTGTTTCTCTGACAGAAACTGTTTGCAAGCACGAAAAGCGTCACAATTGTTCCCCAAAGTAGATCACTACGGAAGGAATTTACATATGTTCGTTTATTCCGTCGCTGAATGTGCTTTCAAGTAATTGTTTCATTTAGATTCGGGCCGCCGTCACGCCGATCTCCTGAATTTTTCAGTTCCGCTATACAGCACTTAAATGACGCTTTTATTAAAGATATCTACATAAAAATGATGCTTATTGGTAATTTGTTCAATGAATTAACACGAATAACTTCAAGGGAAAACTCTGATTTAAATGTAGTACTTTCGAAGGACACTATTTTCACCTGAGCCAAACCACAAAATAAAATAAAATAAGTGCGCTAAAACCGCCATGAGATAAATGACACAATACACCAATTAATTGCTTCTCCCACGCTTAAATGGTGGCATTAATTTTAAGGAAGATCTCGGCTCGACTTCAGTCGCCGCGCTATATGTTGGACAACAAATTCCGCGGCAGCCACATCTTGTGCGGCGAAGAGCGACCATGCATGCATTAAGGCTGTAGGCGTGCGCAGCTCGCACTGCTTAATGGCGAGCGCGCTATCGCAATTGTCATTAATTTTGCATAAAATAAAGGACGCACCATCAGTGTCTGTTATTGATGTGCCGAGGACTTTTCATCATGTTTGTGTTTTTGATTTGCACTCCATATCTCACTATATGTTATATGTACGAGATGCTTTTGAAATCGAAATGCTAGTCGACCTCATCTATGAGTAGATTGAGTACCGTATACCCTCCTTCAGGCATGAATAGAATGTGAACAATGGAATTGGAAACAACGACTGGTATAAGCAAATTCTTTGTTTTTGTTAACTCAACAACTAAACTGATTGAATAAATCAATGAAATACTTCGTAGAAACATTTAAGTTCAGAAGATGAAAACAAAATGCAATGGAAAACCCAAAGCGCATGATAAATATTTTGACCAAAGCGGGTTCTTCAGTCTGCAATGAAGTCGTTTGAACTTGAACTTTCAATACCAAGTAAAAAACTCGAGTTGTTTTTGAGTGAGGTGGGTTTTATTCAGTCTTCGAATGAAGATTTTTCTCCGAGCCTCGCAATTATGGAGAGTAATTGAAGGCTTGCCTCTTGCAGTTTCTCCGGAGCGCGATCAAGCAATCGAAGACGAAGCATTCCGATGGCAGGCGAGGTATTTCACTGTCTCGCTATTGGAGCCATAAAGTTGCCTTCCCTAGTGGATAACAAAGACGGGGAAGAAGGTAAAGACTCTGAAGCACTAACAAAGACGGGGAGGACAGAGGAGGCTCTCAAGCACTAACAAAGACGGGGAGGACAGAGGAGGCTCTCAAGCACTAACAAAGACGGGGAGGACAGAGGAGGCTCTCAAGCACTAACAAGACGGGGAGGACAGAGGAGGCTCTCAAGCACTAACAAAGACGGGGAGGACAGAGAAGGCTCTCAAGCACTAACAAAGACGGGGAGGACAGAGAAGGCTCTCAAGCACTAACAAAGACGGTAAGAAAGTAAGAGGTCTTCAGCGCTAACAAATAACGGGGAGAAAAGTGAAGGCTCTCAAGCACTAACAAAGACGCAGAGGAAAGTGAAGGCTCTCAAGCACTAACAAAGACGTTGAAGAAAGTATAAAGGCTCTCAAGCACTATAACAAAGAGAGGGAAGAAAGCAAGAGCTATCAAGAATTAACGAAGACGCAGAGGAAAGTAAAGGCTCTCAACAAAGGTGTTCGGATAAATAGAATTTAATCTGCCAGGACGCCATGCATGCAGCCCCAGATGAGAGTCTGTGTCCGCTGGATGATCTCTCGACGTTTAATTGGAACGCAAATGAGATCAGCAGCTCTGCCCGCCATCGCCTGCATCGATCAAATGATCAATCAATGAATCGCAAAATGGTTCCCTTAGGAGATGAAGTTTAATGCGTCACATTAATTTTTAGAGCCTTGAAACAATCGGTGAAGTTTGAATTTGACTCACGCCTGAACAACTGAAAGGTCATGAAGGTTCGCGTTGTTAAGTCGACAACAGAAAATTCGGAAATCTTCGACTGAATCATTAAAAATATCTGTCAATGAATTTGATTGTTTATTAAATTAATTGAACTTTAAAAACGCGTGTAAGAACAGAAAAAATGTCTGGAGCAATAAATGTAACTATATAAAGCTTTGAAAAACAATAATTTTAAAGGATATTTCCTTTACTAAGTCAATTCAGTCAGATAAATAAGATTTAACCGATACTTTTGAATAAAAGAAGAACAAACGGCTTAGGTCATCCCAGGTAGCAGCCCAGCAAATATGGAGCGTTTCCAAGAAGTTCATCTTTCGTTCGTCTCTGAACCTCATCCAATTTGACAAGATTTCGAGATTCCACTTAAGGTGCATTTGAGAGCTAAGGGCATTGTGGAAATAGCCTTAGTAAAGACGGCCATCCTGGTTCAAGAATTACTAACTTTCAATCGAAAATCTTGAAATCTGGTCACGCAAGCTAGATCATGCAATACGGGCTCAGCAATGCCATGCAGATTCAGAGTTATTTGCAACGCTGTGGCTGCATCCATACTTTATACTAATTTTGTCTTTGGACAGTCACACGCGTCACGAGAACGCGCAGGTTGACTGTAAGACACTTGCAAGCTTACAAAGGCTGTTGAGAACGACACCATGTCTTTGGACAGTCACACGCGTCATGAGAACGCGCAGGTTGACTGTAAGACACTTGCAAGCTTACAAAGGCTGTTGAGAACGACACTATGTCTTTGGACAGTCACACGCGTCACGAGAACGAGCAGGCTGACTGTAAGACACTTGCAAGCTTACAAAGGCTGTTGAGAACGACACCAGTGCGCGCAGTTCCCCAAACAGAAGCTGCGTGTCTATAAACATCCCGGGCTCTGCAATTGAGGTAACCAGTGGGCAGCTGGCACGATATAATGTAGTCATAATGAAGCGGTATAATGCAATAAACTGCAGCTTCATATGGCCGATCGAAGAAGCAGCTCGTCTAGTCACACTTATGGCTTTGAACAACGCAAAGCACCAACTGAATAAGCAGTAAGCTAACCTCGCATAAGATGAAAAACCCTAACTCTACTCTTTATAGTGGCAGTCATATAATGGTTAAAGTAAATGGTTTACCAGATAGAATATCTTGCTCGTTGTTACTCACAAGCCACGAACCGTGACAAGTCACACCTGAACAGCGGACACAGCCTGATATTTATTACAATATGAAGAGGATACCTACAAAATATACGTAGTATTTACTCACCTAGTGACATAGAGTAATAAAAAACATATTTATTAACCATCACTATATAAGAAGCCGTTAGGGAATATATTGATCGCGCCTAAGGCAAACTGTAAGTAAAATAATAGTAATTAATCACGCAACTTCTACGTGAAAAATCAAGAACCGAATGTTGACGCGAGGAATCGCCAGAATGCATTCTACTGCCGTC